GAGAATAAGACGAGTCTCAGTTTGTATCTTGTCATTAATCTTTAAAGTCTATTTTCATTGTAGTCTGAAAAAATCAGCTTAATTCCATGAAGCAACAACAGCGAATGGGAGGTTGTTTTTCAAGCTTTTTTTGAAGGTCTAAAAACATCTGCTTAGAAAAATATAAGTCACACTCTCCCGGGACCGAGTTCAATTCAATGCTTAATCCAAGAATTACAGTCCAAGTTTAATTCCATCTGTTGAAGCAACAGGAAGCTAAAAAGATGTGCATGATTACGCGATGACTTCATCCAAACTTGACCTAATGTTAATACTTTGACAGAAATAGTTGTTCTTATTGATTATCGCTTTYTGCGGTGGGTCGGAATTTTGCGGTGACTGTGACGTAGCCATTACGTCATATTGACAAAGTGAAAATCAGTCAGGTCACATTTAGCACAACAATAGACCACGACGTGTAGCGTTAAATACTCAACAATTTGCATTAGGTCACTCAAAGGGATTGAACACTCAACCACGCTAGAACTCTACAGTAGAGCTGGAACACAAGTGAACACTTTTATAAACCGCAAGAAACGAAATTTGAGTCCAGTCGACAAGCTACAGCTAGATTTTAAAATGTTAGAAAAAGACAAAATTATTGACTCTACCAAAGATCCAGGATTTACAAACGAGTTGGAACAACTTACGGAAAGTATTTCGTACATCTCTTTCGATAGCAAAAAGGACTTGGCTTTGATTGAAAGCAAACGGAGCTCGTTAAGCTCTGAATTTAGTGAACTTGAGACAAGCTCTTTGTCRTCTTCAACAAAATGGGATCCACAGCTCATGGAGGAGATCTACTCTGAATTGAACAATAATCAAATTGGATCAAGTATTATCGAGAGGGGAAACAGAGCTAAGCTACGGAGATCAAGCAGTTCATTATCTAGAAATAAGAGRCCCAGTCGGACTGTTAGTGATCCTGTGCGATCAGTTATTCCTAAAGTTTGTGCGAGTTTAGTCGTGCGGAGTTTTAGCTTGAACAGGCAACCCACAAACATTGGACGWTCTGAAACGTTTTGGGAAGATGGTTGCAAAACAACTGATTTATGCTGTACTGAGTTATAGCTACTACCAGAGGAGTTTATGGCTTTAACTATAAGAAACTTTCTATGAAAGATGCTAGTATTTTCTGAAGGAAAAACCAACAATAACAACATCGAAAAGTCACAACTTTTGAATGTTTGTTTTTGCGTCAGGTTGAGTTCAAGTGTTATTGAACAGCGTAAAGACTTGGAGATCAAAAACCGTGGCAACTCATTGAAAACAGAGACGAGATACATAATCCACTTCGAAATGCAAAATTTCTATGGACACAACCGCTATTTACCGAAAAGAAATTTATCCTGATGGCCTTGTTTTTTATTAGAWAACCGACAGMATTCTCTAATTAAAGTACTTGTTGCYTGAAAATGGTGTTTTGTCATTACGATGCAATGGTTGTTTGGCTATTAACTGATGCATTGTTTAACGAATACAAAGAATTACGTTCTGCCGACAATGCCCTCTTCAAACTATAGAACCGCCTTAGTTTGGTGTTTAACCGAAGAATTTTACCGACACTAACTAATTATACAGACCAAAAAGAGCTTTTTGTGCGAAGGAGAAACTCATCACTGACCAAATTTGCAGAAAGAATTCCTGGGCGAGCAACCAAAGGAAGYAAGCCAGGAAAGAACGTTATGTAATGTCTTGTGCTTCTAGCAATTACTTTAAAAGCAGCTACTTTTTATTAGAATCTTTTAACTTTACTTTTCATAGTACATAAAAGAAACCTCGTGTCGCACCCGCTGGGGGAAAAACAAAGTGTCAATGGCTGCCACGCAGGGCGATGAAATATTTGTTAATCTTATGGAACGCGATATAAGTTCAAGGTCTTGAGAGCTTTTGAATTCGTCTATACTTTGTGAATACATTTGCCTATTTTACTAAGTAGATTAATACTTTAAAACTAATTCTTTGAAGGAATAGTTTTTAAAACTCTATAATGTTGGTCATATCGTATGAATTCTTTGTGGAACTTTTAATGAATTCAAGGACTTAGGTTTTATGATCTATAAGAATTTTGTCTTTTACATAAGTGGATGATATATTTTATAAGCAATTAGCGATAGTGGCCTTTCTTTTCTTTAAGTTCTATCGTCAAATTCAATTGAATTATCTAGAAAACATAAAATGTCATTCAAGTTGAGGTGACAATGATATTGCTAATGGGGTGCGAAAGYTTCAMCTTTGCCTCCGCCATGTGTCAGTATGTATGTTGACTCTAARGCTTTTAGGGTATAGAAGACTTTAGTTTAAACTATAGATTGACTTCTAATTTTCTGACACTTTTTAAACGATAATCRCAAAATATATTTGTATATTAAATGCAACAGTTGTTGGATAATCATTTGGACCAACCTTAGCAGGAGTTACAGATGTATCGTTTTCAGAATCCTAGTGTAGTAAAGAGAGAGTTTTATTATTATTTTCTAGTATTTGAGCTTGGAACCTTAAACTCTCCTTTGTTTGTGCTATCAATTTCATAGTCATTAGTGAACCACAAAGAACTCTTAAAAAATGATTCATCTTTTGAAGCGGTATTCGCAGATTTAAGATATTTAGTTCTAGTACTGCGCAAGTAGCCTATCAAARAGTGAGCCAAGTAATTTCTCTTCAACGCTAAAATAGTGCATGTAATTTCTAAGTTAAGATTATTTCGAAATCAGAAGCTCCTTGCTATTAGGACTAGACAATAGCAGTTCTTTTGTTTGGTGTGGCTATTATCTTCTAAAGAAGATCTTAGAGTTTCAAACTCAATTCGGACACGCCAGACTCATGAAAACTGCTAGCTCAAAGCGTAGGATGAAACGAAGCGTTCACCAAATATTTTTATCATTGATTTTCAATGGATATCAAACTGTGTAGAACTAACTTAAAAAATACCATGGCACAATAGAAAGACAAAGGAGATAATTTGTTCACACAAGTGAAGGGAAGTGTAGCAATCATTTATTTAAACAGCGGAAAGAGTACGAAATAGTTGAAATACCATACTCTTTAGATAGACAGAGTTTAGTATTTCTCAATACAATTTTAATATTTATAAATGAAAGGAATAGATAATATAAGGTTGTATGATAGATGGTTGGTTTTGTATATAGTAAAATATTGATTGTTAATTATGAAATAAATACTTCAATTTGTATAAGTTGTTGATGACAATTTTGCATGCTCCATCTAAGCGAAGCACGTCTCAAATAAGACACGATATTTTTCTTCTTTTAATAACGAGGTACAATACTCATATTGACCGTACCCACCCGACACTACGCATGCGCGGCTAGAGATTTGTGTTTTTAATTTGKCCTATGTTTCCATAAAAGGGACCCGAATTTAGCAACAGATCGATCCTTTTTTTAAAAAAAATTCTTTAGTTTATTTTTTTCTTATCCACACGGCGCCATAAAAAGCTTCAAGAGATTAGCCTGGGCTGCCTGTGACGGCCTTTTGAAGTATCGATAAGTAGTCCTTCGTCGCACAGACATCGTTGACGAATCTTTCCCGCCCTTCCTGCTAAAGGATCATGACGATTGCTTGATAGTATTAGAGATAACGAATGTTAGTACCATAACAAGGCTTTCGGAAGGGATTCGAGGGTAGATGTTATCATYGCGATCGCGTGTTCCAGTCGAMACTGGATAGTCCTATGCTTACGTGACGTTACGTTTGCTTTGAATATTACTGTGGATTTCCTGTTTACAACTTTTATGCGTTAGARACGTACATCGTATACGTGAGTGAAATTTTATCCATTCAATGATTCACAAGCAAGTCAATACGGCAAACCTCAGTTCCCATTTTACGAATATATTGATTTCCGAGATGCGCAACCGCTTTCTAAAAAAATATCGCAGTCGCGTCTTTGAAACTGACTAGAGAGATAATGGGCGCAACAAAAAGTATAGCGTGACGACTTGCGTGACTGTCTAATAAAAGTATAGCGTGACGACTTGCGTGACTGTCTAATAAAAGTATAGCGTGACGACTTGCGTGACTGGCCAATATTTCTGTCGAGGCGATTCTAGTCGCTTTCATGATTTCTAAAACTGCCGTGACTGCCCTTGACCTGCTAAATGTACATATGGTTTTAGTATAGAGCAATATATATTAACGAATGTTTCCCTTCGAGACTTACGAGTAATCGCAGTTTAAACGGTCTGAACACGCCTTAATTTACCGAGAGMTTAACACAATACACAAATGTAACAATGAGTGAACAATCGAAGTGTGCGACCACCACATCCGGTCAGGGTACATTCCTGCTGTCGGTATTGCACGGCATTTTATCGCGGGTTATCAACCAGTTTCGGGAAGAAAACAAAATACTTGGTTTTTCTGGTTCGAAAATGAGTCATTAAATGAAGTGAGTAGCTTTAATAAACGAGTATAAGGAACRTGAAGAGCTTAGTMGTTAACACGCAGAAAAWCGTTCAGAGTCTTTGCGTCTAGACCTTAGATAAACATCAGGTATCGGGACTCTAGAAAACGGAAAAAGGTGGAAGTGCAAAAATGTACTATTTTTAATAKTCTTGATGATCARACCCCGTYCTAATGAAACGCTTTTGATTGTCAACAAGTGACAATAAAAGCTTAAGGAATTTAACCTCGGAGTCAGCATTTTTTCCCTTTAAAATGATCTGCAATGTGCAGCGACGCCGTTTTGTGCAGCAAAGCATGATGGTAGTTGTAGTCCTCGTACTTTTTCATTTGTGCTAAATCAGTCATTCTGAAGTAATGTTTTTTTTCTTTTTCTAAGCCAAAATAGTTGTTTTTGCCGTTTCTACAAAGATAACTTAAGGGTCCGTAATAAGTGTGGGGACTWCAACTACCATCATGCATTGCTGCACAAAATGGCGTCGCTGCACATATCTTATAATAAGATTTGGTATGCTGATAAAATAATATATCCTCAATTATCAGCAGCATATTTTCAATTTTATTCATTGCTTATACAACTCATTAGATAAATAAATATTTACGCGTACGAGTTTTACTCAATATGTTAGTTAGAAAATATAGTAAAATAGCGAAAATAAAAATAACATTAAAAATAACCTAACTATTTATTAKAATTAAATATGGAAAAGGAATCAAAGTTCCGATACCTGCCTACTGCTTTAAATGTTTTCAACTTATTTCCCTAATCAAAATAATAAATTTATAAWTTTATCACTAAAAAAATATCTCATAATCTTCAAATCAATGTTTTCGTACATACATCTCAATCTAACACTCTGGAGAATTATTTCTCCTCAGTTTTTTTTAGTATTACACGGTAGCAAAGCTTTCTTCACTTCGGAGTTTTTCTGCGCAATCTCGAAAGGTATAACAGCATCTATATCTGGCAACTGACGAAGTGAGAAAAATCGAAGCCGTATTTTTCCCAGCAACTGTTTTTGAAATAGCTAAATACATAATTATACATCAACAATTTACAATAAAATAAATTATACCAAAACTAAAAGTTCGTTTCTCTTATTGAAGAGTCCGAGGCAGTTCTTTTACCGGTGTCACGTGGGTTAAATTTGTCGTCAGTCATGGTCAGCGGTTCGATCTCTTCACGTGCTATGAAGTCCATGTTCATGAGGTCGTCACGTGATAGGTGCTCTACGATTCCCGCGCCCAAAGAGTCACCAAGTACGTTGACCGTTGTTCGAATGCGGTCTCTGGAAATAACATAATRAACTAATATAAGGCACCATGAATAAACACTTTGAAAACAATTCTTTTTGTTAGGCTGAAAAATCTAAAAAGGCTCCCCTGAATAACAATACAACTGCCTCAGCCTTAGATGTTTACAGTACTGACGGCGGACCCTTACATGACACAGGAACCCCAATGTTTGATGCGCTATACCGATGACTAACACGTTCATGGACTGCAATACTTACATGAACCAATCAATGGTCAGTACAAGGCCAATGTCGACAATAGGAAGATTAACAGCCTGAAGAACGACTACCATTGTGACCATGCCTGCCTGAGGTATCCCAGCAGCCCCAATAGAAGCTGCMGTGGCTGTGAAACTAAGGMACGAAAAAAACAATGACATTTCCAAAAGATGTATAATATATATCTTTTTCCTTTACTTCCAGCACAGCTAATCTTACTGTCATTGCTACACATAGCAGTGCATTGCTATGATGCGTGGATCGAACAAATCTCGCATGCAATTCAAATTACTCCAAGCCTTTGTTCTGCTTAAATTAGCATGCCATTTGATTTGATACGACTATTCATGTAAGATTCCATCTTTCACTTTAGCGTGCATAACATTTCGCAATTTTTGCACTTTTTCCACTGATCAAAGTTATTCATCAAAAGCTTATRGGAGATGGGAAATCTGGAGTTGAGCTAGTGACGAGATTTGAATACCACTCCAACGTTGCCGTGTGGAAAGTCAAATTTTGACAAGCATTGCTACTGTTGATTTCCTCATTTCCTGCGAGGAACTCAAGAAGAGATACTGACATCTACCTACCTTGCGTTGTATCCCCGCACCCCTCCCTACACAGTAGAAACAGAAAGTGCTCTTACCACGTGATGATCAGTTGCACTATACTTAGTTCGATGCCATTTGCTTGTGCAATGAATACTGCAGCAACAGCTTCGTATAACGCTGTGCCGTCCATGTTGATGGCAGCACCAAGAGGTACAATAAATCTACTGATACGACAATCTACTTTGTTATGGTCCTCTAAGCATGAAATTGTAACTGGCAACGTGGCAGTACTGAAAATAAACATCTATTATTAGTTYTTTTGCCCTGTTTCAGTATGACAGCATGGTTACATGAATGACAGAATCATTTAAAGACACACGTAAATCTGAGAATCTTCGCGCTTTTTTTCACACGAAAATTCGCCATGTTTGGCTTTGAGTGAATCAGAAAGCCACTAACAGAACTAGTCTCCTCTCGGATGCACATRGGCCTTTAAAATCTATTTTGAACGATTTAGATTTCTAATTTTCAATATTATTAGTARTAATTGTCATTCTGCTTCTGTTGTCATTCGTCTCATTACTGCTTACTGAATACCACCTCAGCATTGTTTTGTATTTAGCGTCAAGACAATGGACAGTGAAATATGTAAAAGATTATGCTTTTCGATGAAGTCAATAAACTACGTCCCAAAGTCAACTAAAACGGAGCATTAGATCTCTTATTTCTCTTTTACTTCCGGTTTCTAGCATCGATGTGAGGCTGAGGGAATTCCTCCACCCCCCTCTAGGAATGATTTCCCGCCATTTGACAGGCGAGTATAGCGGCGAGAGATATCCATTTGAGGTAGGACTAAAAATCTTATTATTTTGCTGTTTATTGAACTGTTTATCGCTAACTTATTGCTCAATAGACTAAATACTTTGTATTTTTTAGTTTTAAAATGTAATGAGGTGTTTCTTTCTTTGATTATTTGCATATTCCAAGTCACAATTTAGTCAAATAAGACTAGCAGTAAAGCTGTGCATTACCTGGATGCCGTGCCAAAGGCCACAACAAGAGCATCTCTTATCCCAAGAATATATCTGAATGGGTTTTTTCTTGTTACAATAACGAAGATGATAGGTAACACTATGTAGGCATGAACTACAAGACCTGTTAAGACTGTTATCATGTACATGGCCAATGATGTCARGGATGACATGACATCTGCCATTCCAGCAATCTTGACACAGATAAGGCTACATATGCCTACTGGTGAGAACCTGGTATGTACATATTAGGAAAAATTATTAGAATTTATTAAMATTATAGCCTAAAAACTGATGCACAATYCTTGGCACAWAGACATTCTTTGGTGGGTGGTRCKATTCTGMATGAAGGACAAAAAAGTGCTTTGATKGTAATGTCCCTCTAGAGTRTTATTAACTAGTTGGTGCATTGAGACCTTGATCATCAAGATTGGTCAGAGGGTAAAGGGAGGCTATTCATTATAGAAATAATCATTAATTGATTATTAATTGATTATTAATTATATTGATTTAAACTCAAAGTGGACACGGAATGGTAATAAATTTATATAATCAGCATGATTGCTAATATAATTTATCAAATTAATATAATGAGATTATTGGTAATAA